TCCATGTGGAGAACGACCTTGCAAGATCCATTTATACTACAATAACCTTGTCATTCTTGCAAGTTTTATAGCAGTTTTTAAACCTTTCGCCGTGTGGTAAAATTCCTATCAATATCCTCATTACATGAGAGTTTTCACAATGCCAGATGTGAAGAGACATTATATACCAGATAGTGCACATGAGAAATACTTGCTATCCCGACGATGTATCACCTCTCTCTCTCTCTTTTTCACATAACTTTGCGATATATCCTCGTTACATGACAGTTTTCGCAATGCCAGATGTGAAGAGTGTTGAATTAATTAATTCAGGGTTTGTTTAGTGTTGAATTTGAAATGAATTTATGTAGTTTTCAAAATCTTTTATTTTTAAATATTTCCAAAGAAGCCTTTGTAAATTTTCTCTCCAGTCTGAAAGATATCTGTCACAAATTACTGTGTATATATAATGTATGCATGCAGTTTCTTGATGTCAAATATATATGATCAGGAGAAAAAGAGATAATTACAATACTAATTATATCGACGTCCCCAACATAACCTTGCTAATTAACTATCTTCTTCAACACCCAATTGAGCTAATTCTAATTGTTGCCTATATCTATACAGGTAATTGGGTGTGCTGCTCTGTGTGTGTGTGTGTGTATGTTGGTCTCTTGCACGAGCTGCCCTATTTTTGGTTTCTGCTACAGTGTGTGTATATCGTGTGTACACACACACACACACACACATATATATGGTAGCTTAGATTTAATGTGTTGCTTTGGTTTTGCTATAGATGTTTGTCCTCAAGGAATATTAGATTCAAGAAATTAATTAAGTGGTCTTGAAAAATTGAAGAATTGACCCTCTGGAGTTGCATAAATATTGACACACCCCGACCCAGGATGTCCACTAGGACTCCGAATCGAGTTGTGTTGACCGATACTTGGAAGGTAACGAAGTCATAAAGTGTATTGATGTGGAAGATGTAAACAAATTTAAACCTAAAAGTGCCTAAGTACAAGAGTGCGCGGTGAGCGGGTGTAAACTCATTTCACATGTGATAACAGAGCATAAGTACAGTACAATAAAAGAGGGTGAGAATTATACCATCGATGGTAATCGTCTACTCCAAGATTTGCCAATAATCATTGTCGATACGAAAACTCTGCTACTAGAACCTGAAGGGGCAAAAAACAAAGGTGAGTGGGCCTGAAAATAAAGTTTTAATAAAAACGTTTTGAAAATGTTATAACCCCTTGCCGTAAAACCTGTATAGTTTCTAGAAAATAATAGTATTACGTAGGTATTAAAACCAATGCACAAGACTAGTGAAAACTGAGATATGCCATGTCATAATATTTCAGCACTAAAAGATGTAAACCAGATGTGCAACTAATATAAAACAGTATGCCAGTCGGAGTCACCTTGCATGGCCTATACGACTGGATCTATAGCTCATCAATCTAGGCTAGCACACAAGTCGGAGTCACTTAGTGTGACTTGTACGACAGGTTGTGTATAAATATGTACGTTCAAGTGTTACAGTCACATGAAAGCTATGCGATAAATCGCGGGTCACCTACGAGTCGGAACCATTTATTGTGGTCTATACAACAGGTTGGCACCAGACTTGGATCCAAGGTGAACGTACGGTGCTAGAGGTGAACAATCACGTGAAGGCTGACCTTAACCTCGGGCGAGAGCATTAATACTGGGGTGTAGCCTGATGAGCTATAATGAATATATGCATGCTCATATAATTCAACAATTTCAATCACATAATAACTCACCTGAACTTACCTGTGCCCCTGTAGGATCATTTGGCATAATCACAAATGTCATCATAATGCAATATTTAAATATAACACCTTTAAATCATGGCATGCTATGCATAACTCAGTTCAAAGCATTCATGGAAACTATGAAGTTTACACACACACACACACACACACACACATACACACACTATAAAAAGGAAGAAGACCCATTCACATGGAGTTCGCGCTACAAGTCCCTATCACAATATCGAAGTGTATGGAATGAATGTCGCCTAGAACAAATATCAAATGACAACTCAAGATTCTTATCGATAGAACACGTAACTTACATAAAACATATCCCCAAAGACGTTCTAGAATGATTTGAAATCCATTGACTAAAAGTCAACCGTCGGTCAAAGGTCGACGGTAGGGTCCACAACCCTACTTAACTCGATTATAAAGATATGCTCCTCATATTTCTGATTCGTAACTTCCAAAGAATCACATTATGCTTCTAGAACAACATCCTAAAGTTTCAGAACGATTCAACAGTCGGATCTTCACCAATTGATAAAATTAAGTGGCGGCCGACGTTTTATTTTACGAACTTACAAATCCAATTCGGTAAGATCTGTATGTCGGATTCCCGATCCATTAGTTCTTATAATCTTCAAATATTACATACTATATGGTATTAAGGTTTGGTGATGATCCAACGGTTAGATCGTCAATTCATATAAGGACCCCGTGGTGGTCGACTAGGTGATCAACTATGAAACTATATTAAAACATTGTAACTTCACTAAATGAATGTCAATTATGGAATCGGGGCTTCAAAATTAGCCTAAGATGGTTAGGTGGGGTTTGGCCTCACGCACCGCTGCACACGGCAGTCGGCCGCCCCAACTCGCTGGAAAATTTATCTATTTCTAAAAACTCTCAAATTTTACAGGAATGAAGATCTCAATGAGAGGAGAAACTTTCATACCTACGACTAAGACCAATTTGACTGGGAAAAAGCCCAAATTTCACTAAAACCCGTCGGAACCCTAGATTTTGGTGTGCTTTGATTCATCCTTCATACTTGCTCTGACGCCTTAACCAATGATTGAGAATTATTCCTGAACTCAAGGGGAGTTTTTTGATGGTGGGGATCGATGAGATTGCCTTCAGAAATGGCGGATCGCCGCCTAGAGACTCACGGGTTGCTGTCAGAGCCGACGGCTTCGAACTTCATAATTTAGAGCCCAATTCCTTTGATTTTTGGGTGGAATGTGAAGAAGGAAGGTCGTGGAGTTGGTTCTAGGTGGTCAGGTGATGTAATTCGCCGGAAAACCGACAAAAAATCGTCGGATTCCATGGCTACGGTCCGGGTTGGGTCGAAAAAAAGGAAATGGGTCGTGGATCCTATGCTTCTCCTCTCCCTCATTTCCCTTCCTTTCCTGCTCTCCCTATTGGTCACTCTTTCTCCTCCCTTCACTGATTGGTCCGCACCTGTCCTTATTCCTCATTTCATTTCCATCACAGCCACACACGTGGCATGACCATTCTTTGCTCCAGAAATCTAGAGCCTTCCAGAAAATGGTCAAATGACCATTTTATCCCTATTTTTACTTGCCCACAACTTCTTTGTTATAACTCCGAATTACGTTCCGTTTGCGGCCACGCGTTCGTACCACCGAATACTACACAAATACGCTAAAAGAATAAGTCATACGTCTCTCTCTCTCTCTCTCTCTCTCCCTCTCTCTATATATATATATATATTAGCAATTGGCTCCCTCACCAAAAGTTAACAAATCTTAGTAAGAATCCTAGGACTCAACTAGTTAGGATAAACGTGAAATAATATGTTGAAAATAAAAATCAATTAGAGTTTTGTACTATGTGTAAAACCACATCCTGTAATTGAGGAAATACATCAATTGTGCTTTTGAAATTCAAGCACTAATCAAAACTGCTCCACCACGATTGGAATTGGATGCAACGACTGAATAACCAACTTTCACGATAGATGGAAGTTGGGTAACCTTGCTTCTATTTAAGAGAATTCCCTGCTCACAGATAAAATAATTCTACGTTTTAGGTCTATCACAATTAGAATATAAAGAACTCTAAGTGATCAGTAGATGCGTTCTCCTGAAACTACCAATATGGTACTACTATGGTTGCTTCGACAAGTTTGTCTTCAACCCTTATGCATGCTTGTGATCTAGGGTTAATGTTAAATTAGAATTTGTTCCAATATTCCTTACCCACTAAACGTGTTTCAGGAAATGGTTTCACAACTTTGCTAACATTTTTCTTAACCTAGCTTAAGATGTATGGAACACAGGATAAAGTTAGTTTATTTGAATCACAAGGTAACTTCAGTTACTTTTAAGTTGTAATTTGTATTCACTGTATTGTAAACGAACTGTGGCTTAAAAAGCTATATATATACAATTACTTTGCAGCAATTTTAAATTCCTTAAACGTTTGATGTTGGAGTAGCTTTTAGCTGTTTATACACTTTTCCAAGGTTTATTTATTACATTATTCCATTGTTGAGTTACACTCCACATTTTCACACACTTTGCTCGTGTGTGGCGATACTACTTAAGCTAAACATATGGACAATAAATATTAGGTGACGTGAATCATGCATGACCATCAGACTTTTAGACATGAGTTAACTTGCTCTACTCTAATAAAAACAATTTAAATTTCACCTTAAAATCAATTTACAATAAGAGAAAGTGGTCTAACTCTTTATAAACCCTTGTAAAATTTATTAACTTTTCAATACGAGACAACACTCCACACATCATTGCACATCAATTGATATGAAATCTTTGGCTGCGGTGTTTTGAATATACTTGAATATAGTGACCTCTTCTTTTCTAATCCAACCCTAAAGATATAATTGTGCATTATATATTGCATGTGTCGACGGCATAAAAGTCACCCTTTGTCTTCTATTTGCCTACAAGTCCTTACTAAAACTAGTTATTGATAAACCACACCCTAGAAGGCTAGGCCTAGTACCTACACTTTCCACCGTCCCTCCCTCCCCTATATGTTCCCTTCATCCCTTCCACTGTAGCATTAACCCCCTAAACCACCAATTAATCATTAACTTTTTAATAATAATTACATAAAAATCAAAGGGTTTAGTCCAGAATCATTCAGACATAGAATTACGTGGCAGTCTAGGGTGAAACGCAGCTTCCGAAAAGCCCCTTCCCCACAAAAGCACTTAACTCGTCACCACACGACTTATGACTCCTCACTCTCCACTCTCGCACTTTGCCCTTTGCCCTTTTCCCCCCAATTCGCCCTCCCAACTCCCGCTAAATTACCCACCCGCCCAGATCGCCCTCCTACTCGTAGGGCTAGTCCGCCTCCACCGGCGGCCAAATTCCCGCCATGAACGCCGCAACCACGACGTTTCCCTCCATTCTCGAGAAGCCCCTCAACCAGCTCACCGAGGATGACATTTCCCAGCTCACCCGCGAAGACTGCCGCAAGTACCTCAAAGAAAAAGGTCCTCCCTTTCTCCTCTCTCTTTTCGCTAATTTCCACTTTTGCCCCTCCACCCCCCATCGCCATATTTTCCGGCGCGCCTAAAATCACGGGACAGCGCACTCCCCGGAGTTTATATTTAATTGTCGAAATTAATTAATTAAACGACGAGGATTTCCCCTTTTTGTTCGGTAATTTTTAAAAATGTGGTGGCCACGTGTCCGTACAGGAATGCGGCGGCCCTCTTGGAACAAATCGCAGGCGATCCAGCAGGTTATTTCCCTCAAGGCGCTGCTGGAGCCCAACGAAGATTCCGGCGCCGGAGCTCTCAGAAAGATTGTCGTTTCGGCTCAGACGACCACCGCCACCACCCAGCGTGTCAGTACTTTTTTATGTGCTTGTTTCCCGAAAAAATTACAGTACTTTTTTCCTTTATGCTTAGCACTTGTTTGATTGCAAGATTTCTGTGTACAGGCCGCTTCGAATTCCGCTGATTCAGCTAAGGAAGCGAGCGCCGATGTCCAGGCTTCGGTGTCCGCAGACGAGCCAGCGACGCATCCGAGAAATGAACCGCCCAAATCGGTTCCCGAGGATCCGCCGGTCGATGCGGATACTGCGGCCGTCAGTCCCAGGTTCATCTTCTTTAGAACTCTTTATTGACCTGCTATAATGCATGGACACTAGCTGAGTTTTACTGCTCGGTGTAGTTTGAGTATGTTAAGCACAATGTAGTAGTGAAGTATGCTACTTTATCTAGTTGAAGCAATTTTTTGGGATAAAATTCTTGAAGTTAGTAGACTTTGGAGTTATAATGTTGGCTTTGTCCTTCGAGAATCCGTATCTAGTCTTGTATGATTATTTGATCTTAGTAGATTGAGGGGGAAATGGGTTTGTGAAGGAGATTCTGAAGTGGATTCGCGTTTTCATACCTTGCTTAAATAGGTGTTAAAGAAGCCCCACATGAGAAGGGTGGCACCATGTTTACCAATTTGTGGCAGGCTTATCTTTCCTCCATGGGTCGTGGCTTATGCTTGAGTTGATTACATACATTTTAAAGATTCAATTGAAGTGAGATTACGATTAGGGTGCATATTCTCTGTGTTCCTTAAGACGGTTATGAAGCCAAAGTAGATTACGTTGTTTGTAGAGCATTATATGGCATTTTCTTGATTACAAAACGTCACCATTTACTATTTCAAACGATGCAAATAATTTGCTGTTTTCTGCTGAAAGATTGGAACAGTATGTTTATAATTAAGATATATCTAGGGGGTGGTGAGAACATTTCATGCAATCAATCTTGTGATATATTTATGTTAGGTTCTAAAGGAAAGTATTTGAAATTGTGGTTGCAGAAATCAGTGTACAACTGATGCATTAGTTGGGCAAATGACAATTTTCTACAGTGGCAAGGTGAATGTGTATGATGGAGTGCCATCTGATAAGGTAAATGAAGCTTTCTATTTGAATGGAGACCCTGAGATAAGCCTTCCAATGCAACGATATATGGATTTGCAGGCACGGGCAATCCTGCACTTTGCAGCTGGGCCCAACCATCTGCTTCTGGACAATCAATTTGGTGGTGCTGCAGCAGAAAGGTCCTTACGGTGCCAATATCAGACTGCGGGCGATAAAGATGGTCCTTTCCCTCCTAGTGCAACAATTTCTCAATCAATGCAAACAGGTATTTGTGCAGAAGGATTTCTTAGCTTACATTCAAACTACTTTAGGTGGAATGTAGTTAGCTGTGTACTTGACTTTTGGTTAAAACTGCACATACTGAAGGGAAAATGAGATCCAAGATATGGTTCTATGCATTGCCTTCTTTCATTGATGGGACAATGTGATTTCAGTAAATTTAATTTTAAATATTGCTCAAAATTTGAGCTTGCTGAAGCAAGAATTTTCTATTCAACTTCCTTAATCTTCCTACGGGTGCTGTACTAAACATAGCTTAGATCTTTGTTCAGTCTTGTGTCTTGATTAATTATGAGTCAATTTGGCTGGAGTCACAAAGAAAGGATGTTTGCTGTTGTAGTTTCTGATAGATAGAGACCTTGACAGTCAACAATGTCCTAAACCCTATGCTAGAGGACTATAGCTTTTGAGTTCCTGGTGGTTATTTAATTGATTTCAATGGATCAATGGCTAATTAATTGATAGTTTCAGTTAACTTTACAGGGAAGATCGGCGAATATACACAGCAGTACTGGGAGAAAGGGAACAGCACTCGTGATCCTGGTAAATTCAGTATTTGTGTACCACTGTAGAAGTTGCTTGTGTGATTTGCAAAATTTTCTCTCCTATCATGTATCTGAGTGAAAAGTATGCAGTTCTTAAACAGAAAGAAGCTTATTGTTGCAAGTCATATGGTCTCCAAGGATATGCATTCCAATATCCTAGATTAAAAGAAAAAAAAGATATAAATCTTTACAGATGCTAGACACACATTAGTTTCAGAGAGTATGTAGAAGGTACGGGTCATATTTTCTTATGTGTAAAACTGCTCATTAGATTTTTTTTCCCCTCTCGTCGCTGTGTATGTTTCCCTTAGGAGTATTTGGGAGAAATTTTAATTATTTAAGAAAGCTGTAAAGCAAGATATGGCACTATGAAATTATAGTTGGTGATGCTAATTTGCAGAAGCGTGGTAACTTTATGATGTATTATTTTTGTAGAAGTATTTTGGTGGAGGGTTAAAGCCTTTACACTAGTATCACAAGATTCAAATCACAACCAATTTTGCTGTCACCTCAGGCCAAAGAAAAGAAACCGCGACTGCCAACTGTTTTGTTGTAACATCTCTAACTCCATCTGTCACTTGCTCCTTTGAAAGACTTGTCTGTCAGCAAATTTAGAATGAGGAACTTTAATTTACGAAGGAGCTTTAAACTAAAAAAATTGCAATAAAAGAATACTACCAATGAACTACTCAATCACACAAAGCTACAACTAAAACATTACAAATGCACTGCAAAGATGCTAAACAAAGGACTTTCAACTGATACCTGAAAGTTCTCCCAAATGTATTGCATCTAGTCATTTTCAACTCCATCTATCTAATTTTTGTAGTGCTATCCTAACAAATTTAGCCTAGGTTATAAAACTTTAAAGTTCGTCATCCAAACACACCATAAATCTACCTTCACTACTGATACTGCTCTTAGCACTAGTTTCACCGTCAGTCTGTCACTTTCATTTCCCTTTGCTTATGCCGAAGTCACTACCTTAGCATGACTCCTTTGCATGCCATGGGATTCTGATGAAAAAGTCTTACAGGCTTAACCAGTTAAAGAAGTTTCACTCTTTGCTGTATTAAATTTACTAGTTTCTTTTCATTGAAACATTTGGTGGTAATCCTTAAGATGCAGACGGTCAGGTGAGCAGACAAGTCTCGTTGCAGAGATACCGTGAAAAGCGAAAAGACAGGTACCTACGGGTAGAAACTATTTTTTACTACCACTAAAATCATTTGTTGCATATTAAAACTCCTTAAGTGTTGGATCGCATCCCATTCATTTCCTCCCTTTTTTGGCTCATGTTTTTACTAGAGAAAGATTAAAGATAAAGAAAAATAGTGGAGCGAATTCTAGCTTGGAGGTTTACTTGAATCATCAACTCAGGACACATACCTCAAATGGTAATTCAAGTCCGAGTGGCACAAGCTCTCCACCCCAACCTGGGCTGCTACAGACAGCTGAAAATCAGCCAAAGATCCGCTGTCTTCCTGTTGACCTAAATGAGAAGGGTAAGCTATAAAGTTCCTCCTCTGTATATTCCATGACATTTGATATTAATGATTCTTTGCGAATTTAACCTTTATAGTTTTCCGACCAAACATAAATTGACTTATCTGGTAGATTGGATGTCCAAATTCTACTATGTGATGGTATTTAAAGGATTGAAGTCAGAAACAGATGCTCTTATGTGACAATATTTTGGATTGTAAAATATTTACAGGTTTGGTTTTGTTTTGTTTTTCCCGGTTTGACTGTTATGCAGATATCCTGGAACGCTGAGCTTGACAATTTCTAGTTCATAAAGAGTTGGGATATGATTGAGGACCCCTCACCTTAAATTAGTGCCATGACAAAGCTGATGGGATGTGTAAGCAGAAACTAAATTAACCGGCTTCTAGTGACCTACGTTTTCGTATGATTGGGCTGCTCTGCGACCATGAAGTTTTTCCAGACTTGTGCTTATCAGGAGGAGGATTCTCAGTTTGGACTGGTACGACTTTGATCAGTTTTGTAATTTGTAGGATCGTATTTTCATCCTCGGGAATTTGGTTCGTTGTCAATGTTTTTAAGGGTCGAGATGTAGAGCTGCAACCAGCAATGTCCTCTTTAACTCCTTATGTATGTAATTATTGTACAAGTTGGATAAGATTCTCTCCTTCAACGTTTTGTAGTTATGAAGAAGAGCTCTATCTAATTTACCGTCGCTTTTGTTTATTAGCCTACTAAAGTTGGCCAAAAATGTGTTGCAATTTGCTGAAAAATCATGGCTCAGTTGATGCTTGAAGTAGGCAAAAAATGTGTTGCAATTAGCAAACTACAGTTTTTAGTTTTCCACTTTAGAGCATCCCGTTGATGGTGGGCAATGGCAGTTGGAAAGCAAGAGCAATGAAATTGCCCTCACTATTTACTCTAAAGAGTAATTGTTTTTGTGCAAGTCCTTCTGTTTGAAAGGAAAAAAGGTAAGGTCAAGGATGATTACTATTTACAAACATATGCTTTTTATTTTTTATTTTGAATGTTTTCTTCTTATTTCCACATATCACTATCAACGTAGATTTTTGAACGATTTAAATGTTTAATTTGTAAGTGTATTGAATGGTTTTTGGTAATTTTCATAATTTTTTTAGAGTTAAATTAATCTTAGCCGTTGAATGGGGCAATTTATTTTAAATCAAAGGCTCACAAAGAGCCAAGTGGGTGGGGAAGTTGGAGAGATGGGCAACAGCTCGTGGGGGTTGAGGCAGATGGACAACGTCTTTGGGCTTCATGTGGGGCCCCTTTGTCTACTGGACTTCAACTAAGGCTCAAGCCCTTGCACTTGTTAAAGAAGGCAGCTGCCTTCAACTCAATTGCCTGTCATTTTGTGGATTAGTGGAGGAGTTTTTTGGGGTGAAGGACAACTGGACTCAATTTTTGGGGCAATTGGGTGATGGGTGGAGATGTTAAAAGCTTCTTTAGGCAGAGCCTTAATCTATAATGTCTTTTGACCAAGTTGCTTATTTCTCAAGCAGTACATGTAATATGTATCAATACGTAATGAAATTATTAAAAGTTCCGGCTTCTTTTGCATATATAAAGTTTGGTTATTGGAGTTATTTTGATTTACTAACTGTTTGGGCCCAAAATATTGTTTTGGGTCAAGCTCAGAGTTGTTCTCGGCCCAGTAACATTCATCTAGAATTGTCATGGGCCATCTAGTCAAGGTCGGCCGAATTGTATTGCGAGGAGGATTGGTTTAGATAAGGGTAATGTAGTCGAACCCTAGTACAACATGGAGTCTTAAAGCTAGATATGTTTAGAATTAAGGGATGAATCTGATTCGTTATGAAGCTTGGTTCAAAGTCCTATTGGAACTAGGATTGGTCGAAACCTGATCAGATTGGGTTGAGGAGTCCTAATCTGAGTACATTTCTAGTTCGGCCATGAAAGGTCGTTACCATACATAGAGAAGGGAGTGGATCATTCAAGGTTCCTCCAATTCAACACATAAATTGTCCTGTGCAAAGCTTCTCAACAACCTTTGAGATTTTATCATCTCCCCATTTCTTCTCGCTAACACATCTTCAGTTTGGATAAATAGTATTGTGAAGGCAACTAGCGACATCTTCAATTTGGATAAACAACACTGCTTTGAGACCGACTGGTTATTTATCCAAGTCTTAGTCGACAAGGATTTTCGAGTCCTTGTTGGTAGAGGTCATCTCATTAGCCTTCTTGGCGAAGTGAGGTGTTATAGGTTACTAGGCTCGACACATTTGAACGCCGAGTTGTTTTATGATTGGATATTCACAAGTACACTTTAGAGTTCGGCATTTCGATGGCCGAACCACATTTACCATCAAGACATACATCTCTTTCGAGTATTTGTGTCCATAGAGTCTAGTGCCAGTTTGGCATGCTTATGCTCTCACGAATATAATCACCGTGACCGAACTTGGGGCCAACGATTTGTGAACTTCGCATAACTAACAGCCTTGTCTTTAGGCTCTAGAACCGGAGGGCTGAGACGTTTTCCTTCCTCAGCTGCAGTCGTAAAATCAAGAAGTCAACAACGTGCTCAACAAGACATTAGCATATTTTACTCCCTGGTCGAGCTCGACCGTCGAGTTGGCACGCCCTGCACATAACCGAATGACATAGTCAGCTCAATAGTTACTTAGCCTGCACGCCACGTAGGCTCGATAGTTTTTAGGGTCAACATTTTGGCACGCCCAATGGGACCTAATGCTAAAGCTACGAAATTTATGACCATTAAGACACGATCAATAAAAAAGAAAACAGTCATAAGAAAGTCGACGACTAATCATCCAGTCCAAAACCCAAGACAAGATAGCTTATTACAAGCACAAAATCCACTTCCTACTGTGACACCTGAAGCCACAAATGCGACACGCCGAGAAAAGGAAGTTAATCTCGGCGGTCAACCTCGTGATGCAAAAATCCCCACCAAAATGACAAAAGGCATTTTTGTTGAAGGACAAGTGAAGGATTGTGATGAGGATGGTGATGAGGCCTCTGATCCACCAACTAGATCGTTTCTTCGACGACAACTTGAAGAACATTCCTCGCAGTTTGAGCAAATGTTCAGCTGAGAGGTAAAAAGCATACTTGAAGAGATGTGTGATAATAGTGTTGTACACAATAGATTGCTCGAAGTTTTGGCTAGTAAAGTCCATGATATTGGACACGCTGATCAATCCAGGCAGCCTCTTCTAAAGAGTAATCCCCTACCACCGATACAGGTTGAGACAAGATTTGCTATGCTTAAAATGATTGACTTGGAGAAAAAATGTGGATTAAACAGTAGAGTGGACAAATTTGACCAAGGAGCAGAAGCGGTGTCTATTGACATGGTTGAAGTTTAGAGAATGATTGATTCGACTTTAAAAAAAAGGTCGAAGTTCCCAAAATTTATTCACCCATATCTAGCCTTTGTAGAAAGATTCAAATATCCTAAGGGATTCAAGATTCCAGACTTTAGTCTTTTCGCTGGAAAGACATCTTTGTCCTCGTTAGAACACGTGGCTCGATTCACTGCACAATGTGGAGATGTTAACAGTGATTTTCATAAACTACGACTATTTTATTCTTGTTAACTGGCTCAGCATTCGCATGGTACATCAACCTCCCACCCAACTCCATCCAAAGCTGGGAAGAATTAGTCGGGAAGTTTCATGAGCAATTTTACCAGCCAGGGATGGAAATGTCAGTTTCTTTGTTGGCCAGGATGGCTTAAGCATCTGACGAGTCACCAATGAAGTATCTTACGAGGTTTAAGTCGGCCAGAAATTGCTGCCGAGTACCTCTTCCTGAAGTTGAGTTTGTTAGGATTGCCTTGAATAGCCTGGATGTAGAGTACAAAAAGAAATTTTTGGGGGCAAACTTTCGAGATATGTACGAACTTGCATAACATGTCAAACAATATGATTATTTGCTCCGAGAGGAAAAGATCTTAAAGTTCTTATCCCGAGGAACGATTTATAAGAACCCTACAGTCAGTTATGCATCGGCTGAAGGGGAAGAGTCCCAGTATGCCAGCATAGATGTGGCCAAGATAGTAATTGATAAACCATATGTCTGCAAAGCATTGGCTCACGCTAACTCCAAAAATGTCAAAACTCGCCCGACACCTATGGAGATTGCTGTCAAAATGTCAAAGGTTTACACCTTCAACATCACCAAGGTCGATGTCATCTTCGACCAGTTATTACTCGCAAAAATTATCAAGCTTCGGCCAGGGAATAATATTCCCAAGGCTAAAGACTTAAAAGTAAAGACATATTGCAAATACCACAACTTAAACAAGCATACGACAAATAATTGTGTCGTATTTCACGATGCTATTCAAAGTTGGATCGATAATGGTAAGCTTAAGTTTCCTACGAAACAAATGGTCGTGGACTCTAATCCTTTCCCTATGGCGACGGTAAGCATGATAGATGCTCATTTACCTAGGGATAAAGGAAATAGAAAGGTTGAGTTCGTCCCAATGCAATTCGTCCTTAAGCGGAATTCTCGACCACGATTGAAGATTAATTTATCTTCAAACGAACCACCCAATTACTATTCAAACCCAGCTTATGCGAAGTCAATGTCAGACTCCAGTGTAGAGGAAACTGACGAGCCAATGATTTTATGTAGTCGGTGTAAATTAAACGTCATCTTAATTGAGCCAAAGGAAAAGCCAGTACGAGTTGAAATATCACAACAAACGTCCATGGCTACGATAACATCCCAAAAAGTGCTCGGTGCAGGTTAACACCAAAAAGTTTTTGATAGGCTTAACCTTTAAGGACAGAATAACAAGCCATCTTCAGCCAAATGACGCCTTGATTTCGACGCGTCGTTTTATAATGAGGAGTATTATGCGCTTAACTCTGGCAACTAAGGTTCATCAACAAACCAGCACATTTTCAAGCCATCTGAGCCATGCAACCAGCGTTGGTACAGCTACAACTTCCCTACTGGTATATATGATGCAATGTCCAAATTGCAGAAATGTTGGCGCCAAAGAATAGACTTATGACTCGCCGAGGAGCAACCCAGGCCACCTCAGTTGTCAAATGGCAGCCGAAAGAAACGGTCTATAATGAAGATGATCAACGTCCTCCGGCAATCATGACCGAGCTACTTCAAGGGAAGAAGGTGATTTATCACAATTTTGAAACTACAAATAAAGAATTCGAGAAGCGAATCAAAAGCTCACCTCGAGCATTTCTGGAAGGAAGCTGAAAGCAAACTTCTCCGCTTCCTCCACAAGAATCGTTGATTAAAGTAAGATGAAATCTCCACCCATCATTTCTCGGTGAAGCTTTGGAATACATGCGGGAATTTCACAAGAAACATTCGGCGAATAACTTGTGCAACCTGCTAAAAGCATGCCAAGAGGCTCTTAATCTAGCACTAACTTGCTCCGATGCTGAACAGGCCATTCAAAATACCACAGATCCGGGAATGAAAGCTAGGTTCTAGTATATACGCGAGGCTTGTATCGACTTTGAGGTTGACCTATATATTGATATCGAAAATGTCGACTTTCCCTTCTCTTTTGATGACCTCCGATATTTGCGGTATCATTTTGAAGTTTTCTGGGCCGTTACCCTCTTTGGTCTTACGACTGATGAAAAAGAACGCGTGGTGTGATTAGATGCTTACTTAGACACGAAAGACGCTCGCATCACATATCAGGAGCCGACTCGTAAAGCTTCGCAAGAGCA